CTCTCTCTCTCTCTCTCTCTCTCTCTCCCCCCCCTCCCCTTTAAGTCTATATCATCCATCCAGTTGCATCACTTGAAAAGACTGCTGATCTGATGGTCCCTCCATTCACCTCAGGGGCTTCTCTCTACGGTGGAATCTTCCCCAGTTTCACTAGATAGTTTTATGCTTCGGTTTCTATTAAAATGCAAATACCTTTGGGTGGGGACATACTTTTAAGCTGTTATCTGTCATTTACACCTGAGGGCTTCGAGGGCCTCACTTAAGCCTCAGTTTCCTGCTTTCCCTCTTTCCTTGTCCACTGTCCAGAATCTAATAAGATAATGTCTATGAAAGCCTTTGTTGTGCAAATGCAAAGTGTTATTATTGTGTCCCAGTGGAAGTGGGTTAGAGGCTGAATTGTACACACTTGGTGGAACCCAGGCTGAGTCCCTCCCTGTGTGTGACGCTGACCGCTCTGGGTTTGGGAGAAAGCTGAAATCTGCCCAGTTTGGAGAAGGAGCGGAAGATCCGAGAATGAAGTTTTGCTTAGGGGAACAGAGAAAAGGAAGGACGGAGGGAAAGGAGAGCGTTAGGGCTCCAAGAACCTCTCCCCATTTAGGAGGGAAAAGGGTGGTCACATTTATGCAAGCACTTTAAAATCCCAAAGCACTTTCCATTTCTTATCTCATTTGATTATCACAACCGTGTAAAGTGTGTAGTGCATCACACTGGTTGTGCTGGGGAAAACTGTGAGCCTCGATGATCCAAAGTGAAGGACAGCGCCAAGTCACTATGTTCAGCTTTATTCACTTTGTTCACCAAAACCAGTAGAGGGGCTGTGCTTTTGATCAGCCGAGGGGGGCAACCAGCAAAGACCGGCATTTCTAGACTGTGCAGGATCATAGCTTGGCTTTGCTGTTAATTAGGTATGGATATGACCTTGGGAAGGTCACTCTGCAGACCTTGGTTTCCTCAGCTGGAAAATGGAAGTGTTTGGACCAGACGGTCTCTAAGATTCCTTCCAGCTTGTCATCTATGATTCATCTAGACCAACTCCCTCATTTTATAGCTAAGGAAACTGAGGCATGAGTGACTTGCCCAAGGTCATAAAGGAAATAGGTACTTTCGTACTAATAGGTACCTTAGGTGCTATGCTAGATTGTGTCTTTGAGGGTCACAAAAGGCTTTCCTCACAGCCACCCTGGTAATACAATTCTCAGCTTGGAAAATAAGCAATATGGCAGAGCGGGAAGAAAGCTGGCCTCAGAGTCACAGAGGCCTGGGTTCAAGTCTTCCCTCCCCCATGCAGTGATGACCCTGGGTAAGTGATAATCCCTCTGTGTTCCCAGGCAACTCAATAAGACCTTGAGCTACAAAAAAGATTCTCATCTTCGTTAGAGGAGGTTCCTAATTGGGCTACCTACACTGATGAAATCACAAGTCCTGTTAACAAAAAAAATTTTCAGTCAAGAAATGTTGCAGCTAGGTGGCGCCTTAGTGCACAGAGCACTGTATCTAAATTCAGTGATCTGAATTTGAACCTAAGTTCGAAACCAGCCTCATTTACAAGCACATGACCCTGAACAAGTCACATAACTTCTCTGTGCCTCAGTTTCCTCATCTGTAAAATGGAGAAAGTAATAATGCCTAACTCCCAGGATGGTTGTGAGGATCAAATGAAAGAAAATTTGTAAAGTGTTTTGCAAACTTTGCAGTTCTATCTGAATGCTACCTATTATATATAAGACATACAGATCTAAGTCTATACAGAGTAAATACAAATTATGTATCAGGATTCCACTTCCAACACTCTACTATGCCACACTACCTCTATGTGTGTGTGTGTGTGTGTGTGTGTGTGTGTGTCACAGGGAGAGTAGCAGATGAGTGTGGTTCACTCTCATGAATTGTGGGATGTGAGTCCACGGTAGGAACTAATTTTCCTTATTTTCTAAGCAGTTAAACTTGCCTAAGGGAAGAAAGGGCATGAGCTTCACAATGCGGAGTCCACCTTCCCTCCTGGGCCTCAGCTGGGGCTTAGGCCCTGGGTGATCATGAATGCCCGTGTCCTATACCCTGACCTGGAGAGAAGGCCCCCTGCAGACTCCCCGGATCCCTCTGTGGCTCTGTTGACACAAAGTTGTCTGTGTCTGTTTTAAAACAGAGAGATCCCTTGGGGAATTTTGGCAGATCATTTTCCTAAAACACTTCGTCACTCTTTATTGGGTTCTGTATAAAACAAATTGCAGGGACTACTTTCCTCAGGCAAGCGGAAGAAAGACCATTCATAGGACACTGAGAATATAGGATAAATGTCAGACATTGACCGGGGTGTCTCTCCTTTAACAAGCCAGAAAAGAGGGATGTGGAGAGCTATGGATAAAGTATAGGACTCAGAGTCAGGAAGACCTGAATTTGAAGCCTGCCTCAGACAGGTACTAACTGTGTGATCCTGGGCAAGTCAGCATCAGTTTCCTCATCTGGAAATTGGTGGAGGGGGGAGGGCAGGAGAGATCATACCACTTCACAAGGTCATTGTGAGGATCAAATGAGATAATTTACACCAAGCATTTAACAAGCCTAAAAGTGCTATGTGTTACTAGCTATTATTACTATTACATGTAATCCTATTTTCATAGTCATATTTTTAAATTTAGAGACAGGTGGTTAGTGAAATGGACAGAGCACTGAACCTGGAGTTAAGAAGATCTGAATTCTCGAGGGCAGCTAGGTGGCACACTGGATAGAGCTCCAGCCCTGGAGTCAAGAGGACCTGAGTTCAAATCCAGCCTCAGACACTTGACACTTACAAGCTATGTGACCCTGGGCAGGTCACTTAACCCTGATTACCTCACCAAAAAAAAAAAAAAAAAAGACCTGCATTCAAATCTGACCTCACTTGTTAATTCTGTGACCCTAAGCCAGTCATTTAATTCTATTACCTCAGTTTCTTCATCTGTAAAATAGGGGTAATAATAACACCTACCTTCCAGGATTGCTGTGAGGATAAAATGAGATAATATTTGCAAAGTCTTTTCCAAACCTCAAAGTTTTATATGAGTACTAGCTATTATTATATTAAATGGAGATGCAGATGGCTGGAGTTGGGAGGGGTGGCACTTCAGGGAAAGAATCTGTCAGCAAGCTTTTTAAAATTACATTTTGAAAAAGAAAGAGTCTTATAAAACACAAACAATTCTCAGTGAATTACGAAAATATAGTTATTGAGATAATCACTCAATAACCCCACACACATATACCCATTATTTCTCACCTTTGCTCATGTTATTCTCTTACGTATAGGCTACCTGAGTCATAACCATTACTACTACTGACTCCCAGATAGCACTTGAGAATTTGTTTGCGGTATTATCGAATTCAATCCTCACAAAACCTTTGTGAGGTGGGTACTATTATTAACTCCATTTTACAGAAGAGGTTTAGAAAAGTTAAATGACTTGCCCAAGGTCACATAATGAATAAGTATCAGAGACAGGATTCCATTTTAGGTCTTTCTGACTCCAGTTTCAACACTCCTTCCACTATGATTCACTGCCTCAAATCCTACTCAACTCAAACACCATTTTCTTAAAGCTTTCCCTGATCCCCTTCATGCATTTACCCCTCAGTTGGAAATCATCTTTTCCCCATGGGTTCCTTTGCATATTTCAAGCATCTGTCATACCTTATTTTGTATTTAGTTATTATAAGCCTGTGCCATATTTACCTCTTAGCTCCCTGAAAGCAGCAATCAGTATTTTATTTAAACTTTACATTTCCCTCATTGCTTAGAAGTGGTCAACATACATACTGTGTGCAGATGAAGCATCCCAAACACCAAAGGATGAATTCAGTCCCTTTTTCTCACAGATGGACAGCAGAAATAACAGCAAGAAAACTGGACTTGGAGTCAGGAAACCTGGATTCTAGTCTTTTCTCCATCTTGGACTACTAGGGGAAAAAAATCACTTAACTTCTCTGGGCTTCAGTTTCCTCATCTGTAAAATAGGGACAAAAATACT